ACTTGAGAGAGGGAGTGGTGCCAGGATCTTTAAAGGAGAAAGTTAGACCACTTCTTAAAAATTCGAACTTGGACCTGGTATAATATTAATAACTATAGGACAGTAGCCAATATTCCCTTCCCTTCTTGGACAAGGTGCTTGAGCAGGTAGTTGCCAATCAAATCCAAGCACTCTTGAATAAAACTGTTTGTCTAGCTCCATTTCAATTGGGCTTCAGACCTGGATTTAGAACACAAACTGCTTTGGTTGCCCTGCTGCATGGCCTGTGCCTGGGAGTGTGACCCTGCTGAGTCTCTTGGACATCTCAGTGGCTTTCGATACCATCAACAACAGGATCTTTCTGGACAGGCTGCTGGGGTTGGGAGCTGGAGGCACTGCATTGCAGTGCTTCTACTTGGAGAGCTGATTCCAGCGGGTGCTGCTTGGTGATTATCGTTCCGTGCTTTAGCAGTCATGCTATGGTGTCCCACAGGGCTGGGTTTCATCCCCCGCTCAGTTTAACATCTACATGAAGCCACTGGGGAAGGTTATCTGGAGGTGTGAACTGAGGATCATCTATATGCAGATGACACTCAGCTCCTTTTCATCCACTTCAGGTGAGGCAGTAGCTGCTGTGAATCAGGATCTGGGCACAGTGGTGGATTGGATGAGGGCCAATAAACTGAGACTCAGTCCAGACAAGATGGTTCTGGTAGTGGATGTTTCAGCTGCCTGGATGAATGATAGTCCTTTTCTGGGGAGGGTTGAACCCCTGCTTGGGGATCAAGGTTTGTAGTTTGGGGTGGGCCCGGATCCAGCACTGTCACTAGAGGATTTGGTGACACAGAGCACCTTTTATCAGCTGAGGCAAATATGCCAACTACATCCTTATCTGGACAGTGATGGCCAAGCTCTGGTAACCTCTCTGTTGGCTGACTGCAATGAATTCTGCATGGAGCTGCCGTTGAAACGGTTTGGAAAATTCACTTGGTCTAAAACGGGGCAGCAAGATGGTTAACGGGGACTGGGCAATGTGATCCTATTAGGCCAGTGCTTTACCATCTGCACTGGCAGCTAGTCCATGGCAGGGCCTGGTTCAAAGTTTTGACGTTATCATTCAAAGCCCTAAATAGCTACAAGCCACGTTTCCTGAACAATCACCTCCTTTCAAATGGTCCACCTGCCTGGACCATAAGCTCAACCTCAGCATTCTCTCAGAGGGGACCCCTGCCAGTCAGAGTCAGGGGGAGGGGGGCTACTAGGAGGAGGGCCTTTTCTGTTGTGGCACCTCAAATATGGAGTGAACCTCCCAGAGAGACTCACCTGGCACCAGCTGAAGACCCTTTTCCTAGGAATTTTAGTTAAAATTTGTTCTAACATTCAGTATTGTATATCAGATCTCTGTACTGCTGCTAGGTCTTGCTCCAGTTCTCACCTTTATAATGTAGTCTTAACAACTATAATAGCGGAGAAGAAAAGAGTTAGGGAAGGGAAAGGGAAAGAATTGCTCCCTCCCACACACATCTCTTTCATGGATCTCCCACATCTGGCCTTAGTTCATACAGGAATCAGTCACAGGACAGGGCCATTAAAATGATCTGCCTTCCAGAAAAAGGGAAATGGAGGAGGTTGCCGAACATATTCTTCTCAAATTAGTAGTGTTGTTTGCTGAGCAGCTGTCCAGAGGTGGGTGGGAATGACTGGATTAAGACTTACACTATTAAGTTAAATTTTATGCTCTCTTTCATACTTTGTTTTATGTTTTAAAATGTTGTAAACCTCCCGGAGAGCTTCAGCTATTGGGTGGTATAAAAATGTGATAAATTCAAAAAAATGTGGTCCAACACATGCTGTAAGCTCTCTTTGAAAAGAGATAGGGAGGGAAATAGTGAAGCTGGGGGCTGAGAAAGGGGGGAAGCAGGAAGGCAGATGGGCAGAGGGAGAGCAAGAGTTGAAGGTAAGTGGTGGAGAAACCATGAGCTAAAGAGGTGGTTGGAGACAAAAAATGAATCCTTTGAAGGGGCCCTTCACGTTGCCCTTGGGTGACACGACAGTTGCAGCCACCATGCTGGGCACCTTGTTGTACTTCATGCTGCTTCTAGAATTTTATCATTTTAGGGAATCTGCTCAGGCATCCAAGAGTGAGCATAACTGGAACATAGCAGCTACAGCTCCGATGAAATGAAATTAAAATGCTTCTTCACAGAAATTAGGGCATGTATGAAAAGATCTAATTAAACATGAGCAACTGTTAGAGATCAAGGATAAGTTCACAGGAATCAGTAGCAAATGTAGGCTTTGAAAGTCCATATTTGGGTCCTAAGCAGTGGTGGTCTGCCTCTCTGGAGTGCTTCCAAGAGCCAATTCAAATGCTCAGGCACAACCCTTTCCTGCGTTTCGGAATGCACACAGGGAACTGCTCCTTTCAGTGTATGCCCCCATGTCAAAATTTTCCTCCAAACGGGCTCTGAGAAGAGGGGTTGTATATGCCTGTGCCAATTACTTCAGAGGTTAATATCCTTGAAACAAAGCAGCATGTTTTCACTCATGCAAACGCGGGCTCAAGCAGAGTTTTGCATATCCCATTTGCCCCATACCATAATTACTATAGAGACTGGTGGAGATTGCCATTGCTAAACTGCCCAGCATGGTATCCGGCACTTGCTCTCTCATTCAGTTTCTTTATATTCAATTCTATCTGTTTTTCATACGCTCACATGACTAAGTTCTTGAAACAGAATCCCTCCTTTTACCATGAAGTAAATTAAATTATCATTTTAACTTTTTTAAAGTTTCATTTGCAAATCCCTAAAGTGTAATTTGTTCATGTCTTGTTTTAGAAACATACTTATCCAAAATAAAGGACTATGTGCAAGGAGGGGTAAAGGTTTGCTACCAAATCGTATCTGCCCCCACAGACTTTGATTCTACCTATTTATCTCAGGCCAGAGTGTGACAGAGAAAATTAGATATTAATGAGGAAACAATCAAGTAAGTGACTCATGCTCAGCTCCAATATCCAAGTAGGAAGAGCTTTTTGCAATGTAATGTTTATTCAGTAAGCCTTTATTTACTGTTTGTGTTGTCAGCAATTCTTTCTGTTCAGAAGATGTTAACGGCTTTGTCTCTTCTAAGGTCACTGCACTATGTTAAACTTGCAGTTGGTACCCAAGTTATATATGATTTCTAGAAAATCTGCATCAGATCCAGATCTCCTTTTAGCCTGATTATATGCTGTTACAAAAAAGCTTGCTAGCTAAGCTTTTTGACTTACATGCGCCTCAGAAGTGTATGTACATGGAATTCACTAAGGTCAAGACCCGAGGCCTGGTTCCTATTGCCTGCTCTAGTGCTTTTTTTGTAAAAAAAAAAAAAAAAAAAGGTGCCGGAACTCATGTCTTGGGGTCACACTTTCACACTAAGAAAGATTTTCAATTCACCAACTTTTTTTGAAATAAAGAACTTATTTACCTTTTGCACATAGCCAGTCACTCTACACACACATAAACATAATGGTCACAGCCGGCAGTAAGGACTCAGCACGCAACCACATGACCGATCCCAAGCCGAGCAGCATCCCAAGCCGAGCAGTGCCCTCACAATCAATGCTGACACACAAGCAGCCCACAGACACTGTGTTAATGATTTTTGCACCGACCTGCTACGCCCAACAGAGCGATTCACAATCACTTGGAAAAATCCGTCAAAAAAAGGTGCCGGAACGCTGTTCCGGTGCGTTCTAAGACAAAAAAAGCCCTGGCCTGCTCTGAGAGAAGCTTAGTTGGTGGCAACAAGAAGGGACTTCTCAGTTGCAGCCCCCCATTATGGAACAAGCTCCCTACTGAGGCTTGTCTGGCATCAACTAGATACCTTTTGGGTACCAGGTAAAGACTGTCCTCTATGACAGGACATTTGATTACTTTTCAATTATATTCAATTATATATTAATATATAATTGGATTATATAATTTCAATACTATAATATAATATAATATAATATATTCAATTACGTAATTGAATTATATAATTTCAATTATATTGGGTCAATATGTTAACTGCTTAACTGTAATGCAATGTGTATATTTATTTAAAACATTTTTATGCCGCCCCCATCGCAACAGAGCCGCAGGGCGGTTTACAACAAGAACAAAGTTATACACTAAAAATATTAAAACCCGGCGCATCTCGGCTTAAAAATTTTAAAATCCTACACAATAAATTAACACTTAAAATAAGTTTTAAATAAAAAGGTCTTAGCCTGGCGCCGAAAAACAAATAACGATGGCGCCAGGTGGACCTCTCTGGGGAGCGCATTCCATAGGTGGGGGCGCCACCACAGAGAAGGTCCTCCTCCAGGTACTCACCCTCCTAATATCATTCACAGAGGGTTCCCGGAGAAGGGCATCTGTTGCTGATCTCAATATGCTATTGTACTTGTTTATAATGGTTTTAAATGTGGCTTTTAAATTCTCTACTGCATTTTATGATGTTTTATTGTTATTTTGTATTTTATATTTTATTGGATTTTTTATTTGCTGTTGCAAACTGCCCAGAATCTTTTGCTATTGGGTGGTATAGAAATAACAATAAGTCTTATAATAAAAAGTATTTTAAAAATTCATCCCAGATTATATCATGAAGAGCTGACAAACTATGCACCATATAAGTAGGTCGTATCCACTTTACAAATTTACATCAGTTTCATAGCTGTTACTATAAGATTTTCCCCCCAAGAATTTTGGAAATCATATTTTAGTACAGAGAATGAGGTTCCTAGATAACTTCATGAAATAATAGTTTACTCAGGTTTCCTTGGAAGAATGAATGGTCTGTTCTATGTGAGGCTGCTGCTCAGTTGCTTCTGTTTTGGTTTCTTTGCAGAACTGAGATCTGTGCGCTATACGAGGAGCACTTCAGGACTGCAACACTTCAGCAAAAGCAGAAGCTGACTTCTCACTGAGCTGCAGCACAGATATGATGAGGAATGCTTGGGCATACCAGTTTTTAATACATTTACTCACCCGCTGGCCTTCTTTCCCAGGTGGGCCTTGAGGACCTTCCATTCCAGGCACCCCCTGGAATAAAAACAGTTCAGAAATATAACATTTCCCCGCTGATACCACTTAGGCATCATCTCCTCATGCTACTTAAAAAGTTAAGAAGTTAAACTTCACTAAGGGTACAATCCTATGCATGTTTAGACAGAAAACACCCTACATTAGTAAGTCTCCTTTTCTGTCTGACCACACATACGGTTGCACCCCAATGAAGTTTAGTTTCTGTGCCCAATAGCCACTTAGTGATCCATTTCTACCTACAGTTAGAACTGGGATGGGTCCATCATGGAGCACTGAGAGTCAAATCCCTGATCCCAGCAGGTGACACTTTTGGCAAAACCTTTGCTATTCTGCTTGCTCAAGATGTATGTCTAAATACAAGTTTGTCAACTACTTAGAGAAATAAGACCTTCTCGAATACAAATTATTGGGGGGGGGGGGTTCTATGTGTACCCTGGGAACTGTTTCCCAGTGTGAAGGCAGCTGCATTCTGTCAAAGAATAGGCTGCTACCTAAGTAGAGTTCATGTGAAGGACAGTGAATTCTCTGAGATCTGTTCTAGAAGTACTTCGAAGCAATTCCTGGGCACGGAGTTCTTTCAGTCCAAAGGCATTCCTTTGTGTCAGGCTCAGATCGGTGCATCGGCAGGTTCTAGTCACGACAGCAATGATCCTGCAAGGCTGAATCCTGCTTCAGTTGAATGTCCCTTTTCAGAGTGTTGTTTCAGGGAGAGCCATTTTGAATAAGGGCTCATTTAAAAATAAACTACCTGTAAGTAGGGGGGAAAAGCTGGTCTAACCTAACCACGACTGTGTCATTTTGGTTCTTCCAAGGAGCCTTTCGTGCTGAGAAGCATGCAGAAACATGAACCGCACCTGCAGTGGCAGCTCATGCACTTAAACAAAGAGAGAATCATAACCTAAGTCAAATTAAAGTTACACTTTCAAGTATTTTCAAGTATCGTTCTATGAATATGCTAATTCTTACACTTGTTGGTTGCCATGGTTCTTAACCTGACGTTTGTTTTATTCCCAAGAGAGGAAACAGTCCACTGTTGTTCAGAGTTTAAAGGGCTACACCATTCCGAGAGGAAGATTTAGCATGCAATACAACTCCGCTTGCATCATTTGAACTCTGCTGGGGAAGGCGGGGCAGATGGCATTTGAGATGTCATTTTACTGTACTGTATTAGTAAAATTAAGGGAACAGGGAATTAGATTCTAATGAAAAATACATAAAACATTTTTGTATCTATTACTGCCGGGTGGATTTTTTTTATTTTTATACAAAGCAAAAATCTTCTGAGCCCAAAAACCTTAAATCCTTCGAGCTTTCCTGCAATACTGCACAGAGGAGATAAAAATAGCTTAAAATGACAACAACATATTCTGATTCTCTAGACAGGCTTACCTTGACAGGCTACTCCCACTGCATACAAATACAATTAAACAAGATTAAAAATTTAAGAGCACTATTCCATTGAGAGGGTTAAATATTATCCTCTGATCATTTCTATCCTTGAAGGGGTTGTGAGCCCAGATGGGATTGCACTGAACCACACAACTGGTTTACAATTTGGTTTTCTGCTACTGATGCACATTTTTAAAGAAAAGCAACTCTATAGTTTTCTTTTCTAGACCTTAACGGATCAGCAAATTTATCCTTTCGAACATGTCCTTCTGCTGAGCTGAACTTGACGATGACAACCAGGACTAAGGGTACTTCCTGAGGAGGCATTTATCATGCAATTGCCCTGCCTCATTTGTGGAATGGTTTTCATATACTTGGCAAGAGGAGTCTAAATTACATACATTTGTAAACCTGCCTTTTTTTGTTTTGTTTTTGCATTTACATTTTTTACATCACAGAATATCCATTCAGGATGAGAAGACAGAACAGAGGCACCCTGAGTTTTTATTGGTAGCACTGCAAGCCATTGGTTTGAAAGCATACAGGGGATAGGAAACAGCAACCCTGCTTCATATTCCCTTCCTTTTTCAAATTTTGTGAGTTCAAGTCCCGAGAAGCTTGATTACCATCACAGTCCTGGCTTAGGAGCCTGCCAAGTGAATCCACTTGTCCAGACTTGAAGGGATGGGGCATTATATGGCTGCAATATGATACAAGATATACTGTATATACATCACCATGACATGTAAAAACATTGCTCGTTAGCATGTATAGTACATGCTAAATGGCTCATCACTTGAATGCATGTATTAAAGATAGGCTGGATTGGATCCTGAGTTCTTATTTGCAAATGGAAGAGCTCCTCCTTTTTGAGGAAAGGGGTGATTCAGTAAACTAGATGAAGGAAGGTGGTCCATTCCCATTCTGTGCAGCCCCCTGTGCAGCCTTTCATCTGGGGGACCAGATGAAGGAAGGTGATCTTTTCCCATTCTGTGCAGCCTCCTGTGCAGCCTTTCCGACTCTCTGGAGCAAATTATGAAGGGTGCAAGGGGACACAGCATGAGTGGGGACCCAGGGAGCACGTCCTCCTCTTCCCCCGGTGGGAAAGTGGCACAAGTAGAACCCTGCGGCAGAATGCTCCTGCCGCGCAAGGATTAAGAGCCAAGCCATCATGTTAAAAGACCTGGAATGTTATTATGATGGGGGAATTATTATAGCTTACAGAGTGATCCTTCTCTACGATTCTATAGTGGGTGGCAGAAGAGCTGCATAAAGCATGATTGGAAAGTCACTTGTTTATTGAATGTGTATGAGAAAGTGACTGCAGAACATGCCTAGGCCAAAGTGACCCGCTTCCTCATTCCACCGACTTTACACTGGACATGTTATCTGATGCTTCGTTTGACTGGGCCCCAAAGAGTACGGAAACAGCATTCCAAGTATCTGTATAGTAAGCAAATCTTAGGTGCTTCTGCTTGTGACTGACTTAACCCTTGGCTTCTGTGTAAACATTTGGTGCCATCTGGATGAGCATTTTTTAAATCCCCAAAGGGATAGGCCCATAGGAACGTGGAGACGGACACTCATTTTCCTGGGGAGTGAGAAGCTGCAGATCAAATATCAAGAGGAATGGTTTTCATATACTTTACAAGAGAGATCACTGCAGCACCTTCCTTCACCTGTCACTCTTGTGATATGACATGCACAAGCTTAAGCTCTGGGTGCCAGAAATGAGAGAGGAGCTTAGCCAACTGTGCCATTTCAGAAACACGTCCCTGCCTTCTTTCGCCTCAATTCAGCACCTTGACAAACTGTGAGGATGATGCTGTCATCCCCAGTGTTCAGTCACAGCATGGCCCAAGTGACACCCATTAGGGAGATCAGGACTCGAAAAAGAACGAAGGTTGCAGCATTTAGGCAATTAAAATGCTTTAATGTTGGGGAAATTGTCTACCTGATGTGAGGAAATTTAAAAATTAATGTTTAAAGTTAACACTTTTACCAATAAAACATAGTGTAAAAGATATTCATTTGCCTGCATAGTGCTTCAGTTCAATTCTAAATACTTTTTCTTTCCATTTCTTTTCTTTTATATCTGTATTTAAATCTGCTTTTAAAATCTTTGCATTGCCGCTAGTTTTATTTCAATTTTTATTTTATACTATAATTTAAAACCTTTATATTGCATTTTATCATGTCATATTTTTGGTTTCAATTCTTGTAGACCACCCAGAGATCTTCACGTATAGGGCAGTATAAAAATGTAATAATTTTTTTTTAATCCATAGATTTTCTCTTTCCAGTACTTTCCCTCACCAAATTGCATTAGTGCCAAATGCACCTCATGTGCATTAGTGCCAAATTAAGAGGGGCACTAATGCACATCACCAGCCCCTTAAATGCATAGTGGGCCTGATCCACAAACGCTGACTCTCACTCACTTTCTTTCTCCCTACTTGGCCAATGACATTACAAACTGTGGCAGGATGCTGATACCACAGGTAGAAAGATGAGTAAGATTTGGGTGTTTGGCTACAAGCTCTGCTTCGGTGGTCTTAACAGCATCTAGGAGACTGCTGGTGCTGAAAACAACATTAAAAAGTAACTTTTCATTGGGCTACTTTTCATCCTCTACCTACTGTGATATCTGGAATTAGTAACAGGGGAATCAAACTCACTCAGACTGGAGAAAAGGGGTCTTTTCCCTCCATATACCAAATACTTTTATAATTGCCATCTGCCTCACTGGTGTATGGAAGATACTGAACTCCACCCCTCTTTCCCATGAGCTACTCTTGGGGAAATAGTAGAAGTTCAACACAGTGTTTCAAAACAGTGTTTGACTGGACATGGGTGAACAAACTGGGGCTTAATTACAGAAGTTGTGAAAAATTTGATAGACTCAAAGCCCAAGAGTCATTTCTGCCATCTGTGCACAACCCACAGCTGTGTTTCCCTACTCAGTGGCCCAGGATCCTTTCCCCATGTTACTTGGACTACAAATTCCAGCAGGAAAATGATGCTGTTTGTGTCTGCTTCTGCCAGTAAGAAGGCCCTGCTATGAAACTTCAGCTAAACCGCTGAAGTCACTGGCAGATGTGATGAACAAAATAACGCATTCTTTCTCTATGCATATGAATTTCTTTGCAATGCTTCTATGACCTTATTACACACAATGAACGAAACCCTGTTTTAGGAGAGCTGGGTGTGGAATCGTGCAGTGCTCAACTCAGTGTATCTGATTTTCTGCTTACTGTTTTCATAATAAACACTATTTAGTTAATGGTGTTACGAGTTGCTGATGTGTCTATACTTTGCCACAGCTGAAGGAGTGATCAGTTCACTTAGCTAATTTGTTAATGTCTAGCCATTGTAGCACTAAGCAGTACAACAAACAAATGTAAAGATCAACACCAAGAAAGGTATTTCTTGCTTGTTTCTTGCCTCTTGTACTTACGCTAAGGGCAGCTGGTCCTGGAGGTCCCGTATCACCCTATAGATTAGAAGAAACAAAATGACAGTAATCTTCACATGTCACTACCCAGGCTCAGCGTGTGTATTCTTAGAAAACAGTCCATTCAAGCATTTTTTAAAAATGTCCTTTCCTTGAAGGAACTTAAGGCAATAGATATGATCTCCACAATGGACCCTCACAGCAGTCCTGTGAGGTAGGATAGGATGAGAGAAGGGGGCTGGTTCAAAGTCACCCAGTAAACACCATAGCTTAGTGAGGATTTGAAGCAGGTCTGTCCTGTTTCAATCTAAAAAAACAAAACTGCGAGAAGCACCCTGGCTCTCCTTTCCCCCCATCTATTTATAAATAAAATGTTTTAAACCAAGTTACTAGCCTGACAAAATCAAGACAAAAATTAGTTTCACAAAGCACATTGTCCTGGAATGCACACCCTCTGAAGGTGTGAATCAAGATACAATGCAATCATAACTAATACACCCACACGGTTTCAAACAACAACCAAGTCTGCAAAGCAACTGGGGTCCTTTCCAGATGTACTTGGGGGAAAAAACCTTGTTGCAGTGATCTGTGCATGTGCTTCAACTTTGTTCCCAAGTAACTGAATGGAGACTATATTCTTGGTGGTAGATGTTTCTTTGCTTAATGTCACAGGGAGCTGTTCTGAAGAGGGAGCCGTACAGCAAAAGGGTGGTTGGGAGAGGAAAATGATGCATCTGATGCTGCTGCAAGGGGAGGACAGCTATGTGGGTGTTCACTGCTTTTATGAAAAGAGGGGAGATACAGGATTGCAGGAATGTTCAACAAGAAGAACACATTGCATTGTGGCACCTTAAAACCCAGCACACTAAGGGCACAATCCTATGCACATCTAGACATACTAAAGCGCTAATAAACAGCTCCCAGCATTCCCCAGCAAGAACCTTTTATGTCTAAATATGCATAGGATCACACCGTTACCATGGCACACAATTTCTGTAAACTGAAGTTTACTTTTTCAGATGAGCAAGGCAGTCGCCCATGTGTGGGTAAGCATACATATCAAGGATACAGAGAGAGGACAGCAGGGAAGGAAATGTTTTGCAACGTGAGGGTAAAGGAGCAAGCAGTGTGAGGTGCAGTTAAGCGGCATTACCATGCCGAACACAAATAGATACAAGACTCAATCAGCGGAGCACAAATGACTTCAAGATCCAGTCAGCTATGACCATTAGCATCTCCAGACCACTGGAGACGAATAGGCCTAACTTATATGTACAGATCAGATCAATACCTGAGGGTTAATTGCTGAAAATTTAAACTGCAGTATAAAATACTGCAAACTGAGGTTGGATAGATACGCATGACATTGCACACAGTATGCCAAGTTTTGGTGTATTTGCTGAGAGCCAAGAAAGGGACGAGGAAGACTGCATGTTCTTTTGAAAATGTGTTTGTCCACAATGGGTGCACCACCAGAGGGAATGTTATTTGAACGCTGCACAACAAATAGGAAAGAATGAATGTTACAGGAATGACAACATTAAAGAGCTAACCAGACCCGTTCTATGCATGCTTTCGTTCTGGCTTTTCTTTTACTGTTTCTCTCGTTGAGTAACCCTTGATTTTCTGGCAAATCATTAAGATTATGTTATTTCCATGGAATATACACACACACCTTTTCTCCCTTTGCACCAGGCACTCCATGATCACCGGCATCTCCTTTTAAACCCTATGGAAAGAGCAAAAGAGACATAATGCAGAAAATACCGTCAATTTTACAGGGTGATAATTTATACATCAGCAAAATTAAGCCGTTGGGCTTCTTTAAAATTGCAACCAGTACAGTGAGGCATCAGAAAAAAGCAGTCGCAGGTTGTATGAATTACCTGACATAAATTATTAAAAACATGTGGGAATTTTCCAAAACTGAAAGACTAACTTATACCCTATCACCTTTGTAACTTTTCTTTTCTTGCATCGAGTCAACTTATGGGGGGAAAAATGGAAGTCAGCCTGCTCTTCACTATTGGTTTTATCCAGACTTAGTCATGTTTATAGTAAATCCATTGAAATCAGTGGGACACCAGTCATAACTAGCCCAATGCTCTTTGGTTTCAATGACTCTATCCTGAGCATGAGTCACAGAGCGATCGTCTATGTGCTTACTCAGAAGTAAGTCTCACTGGCTTTATCTCAGGAAACTACCCTTCAGGAACTCTCAGGAAACTTGCACTACAGCATAAGTTTGAATAGAACCCTATAAATATACTTGGCCTGAGCAAAGGTCATTATTCTTTGTAGGTACAAAAACAATTCTGAGATAGTTAGAACAGGGGAATTTTTATGGAGTATCTAAAATCTGAGTGAGATCCAAAACCATGCAAACTGAACTAGATGCTAGAGGACAGAAGACAGACTTTCCGAATTGTAGAGGGCAGACCGGGAATTAGACGTCAGGGCTAAAGCAATTTGCCTACAAAAAGGTGTAGTACGAGTCATGATTATGATGGTGGTGGCAGTAAGGGTGATGATGAGTGGCATTTGTGGGGCACAAGAGTCAGTTCCTGTCATGGAATACATTTCAGAAGAATTTGCATATGCACACATAGAGACAAAGAAGAAGTGAAAAATCGGATGTAAAATCAGCTTGGGTGGGTGAAACTGGCAGTATAAAAGAGTGATGTGTATCATTCTACAGGAGAATGAGAGTGTACAACCTCAAGTCCTTCCTCCCCCACTTTCAAGCTTTCCTAATTCTATTGCCTGGTTTTCAGAAACAGGAAAGAGAGAGAACATTTGGCAGTAAAATGATAAGCAACATCTGTGCTTTGGTGGGCACTGAAACATTAAATCAGCAAGTGTTCAAAATACGTATATTTGTGCAACTTCACTTCCTGCAAAAATTACATTAATTCACCATCTGGAACAAACATAATTTAGAGCTATATAAGCATTTAAGTATCCACTTTGGATTAAATGGTGGATGTTGTCAATACTTCTGATTTAGCTTTGATGTAGCCTTTATCATGCTTGCTAGCAATGGGAGAGTTAAATCTGAAGTAGTCTTTGCTCTATGAAAAGGGACCAGACCAAGAAAAGAAGCAACAAAATGGAATAAAAGGTTTTCTATAGCTTATTAATGCCAATGCATGAAACAATATAAATGCAAATCATAAAATTCTGATTTCTGGATGGATGCTTGAGGTAGCTGAATTGCTGTGGAGTGTAAGCAGAACTGGTTAAGAGATAATTTTAAAAATTGAGAAGAACTGTCACCATGGGAAGCAGTTCTGTAACTGATTATATGGAAGAAATAGAAGAAAAAGACACAAATTTCTCAACATGATAACAACATGAACAAAAACATTCCAAAAATCCAGAAACTAAGTAAATCCATAAATGCCATCCATTTGTCAATGATATGCATAAAGTATGTAGCTAGTAAAAGTTTATTTCTTTATTTCTGCCAGTGCTTAATTTGCAAATGCAATGTGATCAGGGAATACTAAAACCCTTTCAGCACTTGTTCCTAGTTAACCACAGATATTCACAAGTAAAATACCATTACTTTATACTTGTTGAGAGCCATTTGTTCACAGCCTTTTGACTGGACTTGAACATTGTTTGCCTGCCTTTATTTCCCGGCACCTTCAGCCTGCAAGCCAATTGTTGCCCACCTTCCCCCCTCATTTTGCCCCAATTTTGAGAATGCCCCAGATATGGAAACAGTAGGTGCTCATGCTGTATTCAGATCTGAATTCAAAAGATGTATAATGCATCCAGTGAGAACTGAGCACAATGTGAAAAGTTTTTCCCTTTAAAAATAGCATCAAAACCCGGACCTAATCATTTCCTAGCCGCTGCTTTCTTGTGTTCCAAACAGTCCTGTGTTTAAACATGGCTTTCTTAACTCACATGTACCCTTCTTGAATGATGTACTGTGTGTGATAGGAAGCCTGTACCCAATCACAAAATGTACCCTAGTCTGATTTTACCTAGTCTTCAAACACCAGCTTCAAAAAGGGTTCACAGCAGGAGTTTCATGAAGATGCCAAGAGCAGCACTGTTTTCCCTTACAAGAAATGCGCTCCTTTAATATGGCTGCACTATCAATTCTGAAAAGTCAGGTAAGGGCAAAGGCAGGTGTGATTTCAAAGGGGGAAGTGATCATGTGCTTTCTCTCAAAGCGTTTTATATATATAGTGATTTTTACCTCTAACTCTGGATAACTTCCTGATGACAAACTGATCCTAAAAAGTCTCTGTACAAAGAGATGGACAGCCTGGAGTAACATCCATGTTTGCCCTTCTATTGTTTCAAAAGCTTATATAGGTGCTTTAAGGAAAAAAAGTATTATTAAATTTACAGTCATTGAATTATACAGTTGGAAGGGGCCTAACAAGTACCTGCTTAATGCAGGACGCAAGTCCAGGTTCAACCCAGCCCAACCCAGCTTAGCTTCCAAGATTAGGCAGGATCAGGCACTTCAGGCTATATTTATTTATTTCTTATTTAACAATGATATTGAAAGGCAGGAAATATACTTATTTCTTGGATGTACTGGAGAAAAGTTTAAGTGATGCATAAAGCAATTCTGAAAAAAATGTGCCTGCTTCTGAGGTGTCTTGCTACCAAGGGAGTTAAGACTGTAACAACAGTAAAAGCAAAACAAACAGCAAAAAACAAGATTAAACATCTCTTCATGCACAGGGGTATATTAGCTCCTAAGCAAGTTAGTACAATTAGGATGCACATGACTATTGGTACTTTTCATGTAAATTTAAATATATATAGTCCCCTCTTCTACCACATATCCCTCAAGGCACTTAGAATAAAACAAATCAGATACAAATATAAAAGAATCCAGTTAAAAGCTACAGAAAAAACGGTATTAACAAAGCAGCATCTCGGGAGTCCACTGCAATTTCCAGTTTACAAAAAAGAGAAGGTGGAACAGATAAGGTTTCAGAATCACCTATGAGGTCTCAGGGGAAAGGGTGAGACATTGAATATAATAGAAGTGCCACTACCAAGATAAAAAAGTGGCAACAAAGACTCTTGTCTCAGAAGGCAATGTCACCCAGAGTGATGTCTCTAGTGTAGGCCTATACATATAGGAAGCTTGCTATTTCACTTGGAGTTGCAAATTATCACATTCAAATTATTAAAATTGCTAAAATGTTAACTATATTTTGCATTACTAGCTATGGAATAGAAAATGTCCCCATATACAGAATGCAGTTGATAAGAATTCTTTCTTCGACTGCAATTTAGCTTATATCAATATGTGTACTTTATAGATCACATAAGTGACAGTTTTGCAGGCTTTAACATTGCATATTTCCCCTAATTTCATGTGGGATGTGTGATTACAAAGAATACATGCATACATACATAAATTATCTATTTATCTACCTCTCCATTCATTGCAGCTTATTTTGGCATTAGTTGCTTTCTCTCAGCACTGATGTCAAAATGACCTATGCAAACTCTCTTCCTCCATTGACACATCAGAATATTATTGATATTAAGAAAACCTATAAATTGGCTCCAGGGAATAAAGGATTCATACAATTCTCAAAAGAACATTGCTGTGTATGTTAAATATGGACATAATTGTTTCTGGGTACATACTTTTAGGATATTATTTTCAAAGTTAGGAAAGGTAACATTCATTAGCTAACACCTGAACAGGAAATATAATAGAAGTAGCAACATGAGTGCTAGTCATAATAAATATTATGCTGTTGGCTGAACTTAAAGTGTAACTCTTGATTGACGTGTCCTGTGTTGCCAGTGTACTGAATGGTAAAGTGGAAAATGCACATGGGGAATGGATGAACAGTTCTTCTATACCAACTTACTTCTAATTGAGACTAACCAAATTAGACAGCGAGTGCAATCCATCTGAGAACAAAGAACAACACTCTGGGGGATGAACTTTCCCTGTGCTGAGCTGACAGCCCCAGTGGGGGGGAAGTCACTCTTTCACGCTGGATAGATAAACAGTGTGAACACAAGAAGGCAAAGGCAGGAAAAAGTAATGTCAGCCAAATCAAAAGTTCCTCTCTTCATGCAAGGACCTTTGATCTGGTGAGGCCTCTGCTAACAGGAGCAGGGAGCCAGTTCCTGCACATTCCTCCTGCCCTCCTCAGCCCCTCTGGCCTCTCCCATGTTGCTCTGGCTAGTCCTCCAACCTTCTGAAGCAGAGTAGTGGGGCACAAAGAGAACCACAAGGGGCACGGTGAATTGGGGAAAATCCCCCCTTCCATTAGTAGAGTTTTTGATTTGATCAAAAACTTTTTTAAAAAATAGAGGGAACCATTGGATAAAATTCAGAGATTGAACAAGCATGCTAGGCAATATTAATAGTACTAGTATTACTACTAATAATAATATAAGTGGGAACCATTACAAAGGTGTTCCATGCATGATTCTGATTCCTTGGTCATGTGGTCCAAGCATTGCTTATATCTGAAAGGCTTTCAGGAAGCCAACCGGAAAGCAAGAGTGTGCAACCACAGGCGTGGGGAGAGAGGATCCATTGTCCAAGAGCTCCAGTAAAGGGCACTTTTGTAATGCAGAATCTCTGGGTGGCCTGTGTTTGTACCTTCTCCCACACTCCAGTACAGACTGTGGCCTCCGTAACACTTCCTAGCAGTCAGGCAGACTCTTGTTTCTCTCAGAACTTCAGTTCTGCAATGGCTTTTGCCAGTGTTGGTCTTACTAATAGGAAAGTCCTCAACATGAGCAGGACGGTCTCACTCCACCACACAATGAGAGCACTGCAGACAAAATTCTAGCTGAAGAGAAGGCCTGAGAACCTCCCGTTTTGTCCACAGTTCCATATGGTTTCTGTAAAAAATGGGCCCATCTCTCAATTGTTACAGATTGCTCAGATAGATCCGTCTGATTCAGGGGAAGTGGAGGGGATGGGGGGGAGCTGCAGTTCATTGAGAATCTGCCTAGTCTGGAAGAAGCAGAAGGGTTTTCAGGGTGGAAGAGGGGGCAGATGCAAGACCCAGTCCTTGACCTGGTCAGGAGGAAGCAGGAGAAACACATGGCCCGTTAGAGGGCCTCTTGTCTTCTGCTGTCTAGCCCACAAGCAGCAAGAGCCACCCTGAGGGTGGCGTCAGCTTTACTAAAAGGCAGGAACAGAGGGGAAGGTTTCAGCTCTTTATAGAAGTAGCTGATATGTCCCTTAACCTAAGTAGAAACCAAACTGTTCTGAAATCTGTTAAGTTTCAGTAAAGGAATTGTACCTCAAAAGGTTTGTCTTGAGTTTGACAAACAGAAGGAAAACAGAGATGGGACTAGCTCACCAGTTTCATGATGAACAGAAGATACTGAGGAGGAGGCATGAAGCAGAAGAAATTTGTAACTCAGTGTAACCCCGCTTTGCATGCAAAGGATCTGCTCACCAGGTTATTCTGTGGCACAGCAGGTTATGGCTGGGGGAGGCAGCAGCCTGCAGGAAAACCAACCAGACTCTCCATCTGCCAATCTGCTAATTTCAGTACATGCTGCTGTGGCTGCGTGTTCAGAACGGTGCAGGGATTCTGCCGGTGTTCCATCTAAGTACTGTATGTATGCACGTAAGCATGTATTTTATTTCTATACTGCTCTCTGGGGAGTTTACAACAAAAGCTGCTCAACCATCTCCTTTTTTGAGCAAGCCAAAGTGATCCTGGGGCTGGCCCTGGATGATCCCAGACTGCTTGTTTGGGGGATATCAATGTCTGTGCTGCAATTGTTTAGGGAGGAGTGGTTTGGGATTTCATGGCCCTCATGGCCCTGTACCACGTATATCTAGCCTTATACATGTAGCCGGGCACACACTCAGTTTGGGGTTCTACTCTGATGAAGATGATGATGCTCTAAAGATAGATAAATTATGTGTGACTCTGTTATCCTGCCCAGATCACTAGTTGTAAATTGGCCACTAGCATGGACTTTTATAAGAGCTTGGACTGCATCAGGGTTAGACTACTGCAATGTGTTCTGCGTGGGGACTTCTCTTGAAGAGTGTCTGGAAGCTTTAGGTGATGTGAAGGCAGCAAGGCCACGCCCTGGGGCCTGGTATCTGGCCTACATCACACTGGCACTGAAAGACACAATTCATAGGACCAACTTATCTAAGGGGCCACCTGTCCTGCTGTTAAGATATGTAGGAGAGCCTCAGTTGAGGACACCATAACCTGTAGAGGACTGTAAGAGAAGGGGGAAATGGGAACATCACAGGTTGCAGTCCTCTCTTTCTAAGCTACTGCTTAATTGGGTTAATTGGCAAGCTATGGAAGGAAGGAAGGACGGAAGGAAGGACAGAAGGGGCACATACGAAGAGAGGAGAGTATTTCAGTGTCTAATCTTGTGACTTAAAAAGTTCACTTAAAGTGAATAGAATCCCGGTTAAGGATAAGCAGTTTCTAATGTTACCCATGTAAAGATACCTCACTTTCCAAAAAGTCTATAACACACTGTGACTTTTCCAGCAATTTCTCCAAGTACTTCTTCCAGTGGTTGAGTTTAAAATATGTTATTGAACAAGCTGAACAGGTGCCAAGTTCTAGTTTCCACATTTAGCATTCCAAAGCACTATGTTTTATAACACTAAGAACAGTTATACTATAAAGCAGAAAGGATAGGTAAGACATTAACTCACATCTCTTCCAGGTATGCCATCTGTTCCTTTCTCTCCTTTCTCTCCCTGTTCACCCTAGGAAAAACCAAGCATTTTTTTTTAAATGCTGAAAAAAACACCTTAATGGAACACAGTCAAATTCTAGAAGAATAATGGCTACTTTCACTATAACCCATACCTGCCTAGACAAATTACTGCATGTTTTATTTTGCACAAAATACAATTCACTCAGACACAGACTGGGAGTTAAGTATGTAAAGAGCACAACAAAATCTAGAAATTCCACCTATGCAATTCAAAACCAAGAAAGAAAATGCTTAGATTATGGTGCAGGTGGGGAACTTTCCATTTTTCACCACTGTGGACAGGGACAACACTCAATCACCTTGCCGTGGCTTCATTAACTTGCATCTTCCATCAACAACATCCCTCTTGGATCTGACAAAGTGGGCTCTAGTCCACAAAAGCTGATGCCGTGAGTAATCTGTCTTTAAGATGCCACCATATTCTCTATTGTTATAATATCAAGACTTTCTGTCCAAATCATAGCTGTTCAGTTGCTGTGTCCTCCATGTTATCAAAAGGACCCTGAAACCCAAATCGAGTGGAGACAGTCCTTGCTCACAAAATCAGCATTCCAACTACATTTTAGCCTCTATGCAATAGCTCACAAAACTCCTGTTGAAAGACAATAATCATCAAACCAGATGTAACACATGTGACTGGCAGGGGAGATGAAACAGCCTTCCTGCTTTGTGTTTGCCATGCTGTGACACTGACCCCCATTTTTAAAAGGGTCCAAGGCAGATAGACACTTCAGGACTGGAAAGAGAAGAAGTGCAGCTTTCAAATAATTAACTAAAATGAAACCAAATGGTAGCGGGTTGATGTGGGGATATGGATTGCTTTAATAGTCTTCACCACTTTTTCCCTGTGAATGCTAGTGTTTGCTGTCCAGAAGGCTTGAGCACTCAGAGACAACATCTAGGTATAGCCATGACTTTTGTACAACCCTTAAACTTCATGCAACAATTCTCTAGAAGAAGCTGTTTTCCCCAATATGTCCAAAACTATTGTAAAGGGTGAGATTGCACTTTGGGCACTGCTGTCGTACTGTATGGACAAAAGCAGTCTGTTTGAAAGTATTCTCATTTGAAGGTGGTCCTGTCCAGGTTCACCTTAAAGATTAAAAAAACCACAAGGAAGGACTGCAGCAACCTTGAAGTTGCCCATCAGTGATAAGCACCTGGACATCAGAGTGGGCAGCAGGCACCTGGGTCACCTGGTCAGTTTTCCACACCATGGTGAGATTTCCACTTAAATTGTAATAACCATTACTATATTTGCAATTAGATTAGCATATGCAAATATATACAAAGCAGGATCCAAACTACGTGTTAACAGCTACTTTGTATGAACTCTAAATATAATGTCAGAGTCTAAGTCAATGTTACCACTTGTAATAAAAGCTCACAGCCTGCCTTTCTATGGCAAAACAGCATGGGGGGCACACAATTTGGAATGGGAAACATGCATAGCTGAGAATAGCCCTCACACTTTCCCTCTGCAGGATTCTGGATGCATGGGTACATATATCCTTTTCACTGGAAAAGTGGTGAGGACTGAGAAATTTAAACATACCTTTTCCTTTGATTCTTTATTCTAACTTGCTTATTCCTTGTGCTGCTTTGTAAGCTTCAATTGCACCCGTTTATTTGAAGTACTAAGTTAGACTCAAAAATTGCATCTATGGGCTTGTTCAAATATTGCAATCAAGGTTAATAAACCATGACTTAGGAGACTCAGAACTAATGTTAAGCCTGCATATGTAATCTGAGATTAAATCATGGAATCCTGGTTCAGATATAACAGGAAACTGTGGTTGAATGAACCCCAGAAGTCTTTCTTTACAGGGCATGAGAGAAGGTGGGATGTAAGAGGAGGAGAAAGAACACAGGTTGCACTGATAATCCTTCTTTAGTATACGCAAGATCTTTTATGCCTAAATTGTGCCTTAGAATACAAGCAACATCCCCATCAACAGTAATAGCACAGCCAATTTTGAATCATCCCTGGGAAGGTCTTAATTTTTCACTATTTTAAACTGGTTTGACAAAGGATGGTGACAGCTCAGCTATGCCAAAGCAGATACTCAAGAGGAACAATATGCATTTTTAATCGCCCTATTGTTGATCACTCCTGTTTTTCAATATGGGCATTGCCATGTAAAAAAGAGAAGCCTTGAGCCATACTGAAGGTTCCATGCCTACCGGGGCAGACAGAACTCTCAGGCAACAATTTGACTTATATACGGGTGTTCTTATAAAACCACTGACATTCCAGCAGAGGCATAGAAAACTTGCTCTTAAGCAGGACAAATTAACATTCACCACGGAACTAAAAATGAATGTTTGCTAAATGAATGCCCCATTTTTCATCTCTGGCAAAGAAAGAATGCAGTACGATACTCCAACTTGTTAGCCCTTGATGTAGCACGGCAGTGAGAGAAGAGCATCTTCGTTCATCACTGACTGAATTCTTCTACCTAAACAGTCCAGAAATAATCATTCATGTATAATTACAAGTGCAGCACGGCCCCTATTTCTGCCAGCTCAGTTACCATGTTTCAGTTAGGTTGACCTCAGCCCACAAGAGAAGTTGTAAAGTGCCAAAGGAAGCCATCAAGTGCTTCCTATAAGCTAAGATTCTTGATAGACTAGGGAAAGAAAAAAATCATATGTTCGGGTAAGAATGAATAAAATTATGGAAAAAAGGTTTATATAGTTTATATTATATGCAATATAGTGTTCACTCTTATCTGTGGTTTCAAGCATCTGCTAGGAGGCTTGGAACCAATCTGCATGGATATGGGAGTCCTGCTGTACTACGCAATGCTACGTAAGTCCAAGATAATCCTCCAATTTTAATAATGATTTTGTGGGAGAAAGGATTCATAAAATTGTTCTGTTGCAATAACCAAACAAATAGGAACCACAGAGGCACATATTAAATGGTCTTGTACATCAGAAGCATTCATGGAATTCCTCATTGCCCACAAAGAAAATATACACATTACTGTATACCACATGACATAGTCAAGGCTAACCCTTAACCATTGTTATGTATGTTTCATGAAAAAACTACAGTGACATTTTGTTGTTTTAGTATTATAACAGCATGAATAAACTTCAGAAATAAATACCATTTAAAAATACTCCCTACAGCTATTTCTAGACGATTCTACACTTCTATTTGCACCACTGTGCTTTGGACTGGAATACACGTTAAGTTTCCAGCTACAACACTGGAAGTGCCATTCTGCAACAAATAAGAGGACACACAAGGGTCTTCTTTGTATAAGGACTTAGCTATTGAAGGTGCGCTCCTATGCGTGCTTAGACAAAAAGAAATATTTCAGTTCCAAGCATCCCAAGACAGAACAGCTGGCTGGGGGAACCTGGGAATCCTGGGATTTTTTCTGTCTCAACATGCATGGGATCGTGCCCCAAGTGTCCGTCAATGGTATGCCAACATGGCAAAACAGTCACCCTCAACCTGCACTGAGTTCAAATAGAGGTGCTCAGTGTGGAAAGATTCCAAAGCTGAGTTTGCTGGTTCATATCCCTGGGGCAGAATTCACAGTCCAGAGTAGAACAAAGTGATTCATGAGAAAACACAAACAGTGAGGCAAGAACATTTGTCTTGAAAGCATCATGGAATCTCTGATTCTTCTAGACACATACTGTAATCTTAGGACAACAATTCCAGTGCAAGACTTTATTTTAATTTTTAAGAGAACATCTTATTTTTGTCATGCCTGTGTAAACAGATCCATAGACAGGAAGCGGTGTTTACTTGGAATCCTAAAGAAGTTTCATTCATCAGAAAGCCAAGCCAGCATGCCTAATGTGTCGCAATGGGATTCCAATAGACTTGTAGCATATGAAAGCCTATCTGATCCCAGCTGTATAACCCAGGAAACCAGTATAAACATTAGAATATTTCATTAATAAGCTTGCAATATATTCTTTGAATACTCAAGACTGGGAACTTCTCAATTTTCCCAGATGGCAGGAGAATTTTCTTCACATTTTATAAAATCTACTGAATACTAGATTTCCTTTTGCATGAGCTAGTAAGTTTATTGTTAGATGTCTGCTCTAGTCTAGAACATTACAATTTACTTTACAGAGATGTTACAGAATCACAACTGTCATTTGGGGGCATCTGATGACCTGAGCTAGAGAAGGGCAGTAATTCAAGAACCCAAAGGCAAAAGGCAGCAACATACTGGCAGAGGAAATGAAAGATATTCAAAGGGGAATGGAATAGAGAGAGAGAAAGCAAAGAACAAAGAATAACCAAGCAATTGTTAAAAGGCCTGTGTCTTTAGTGAATACTGTGCATTCTCTTTCCCTTGAAGTCTTTATTATTTCCTTAACTCTGCAAACAAGCCCAGTCTGTCCTTCACTATTTCCATACCGTGGTTCATACTTCTAAGAGCAGAGTGCCTTTTATAATTTACTACTGAATTCCAATATTGCCACAAAGCATTTCCAATAATGGTTGGCATAAACCATCCACTTAGTCATGGAGGCTGCATTTTTCTTTTTGCTATTGTAGCTCTATTCACATGTTTCATGGGTCACCCAATTTATTCAGCATAAATGCAAAAGCCCTTAATTCTACATTATACTGTTCAGCAGACCTTGAATGCATTTACAGTGTTGTTCAAAACAGCTAGCTCTTCTCAAAGTGTTTCAATGAGAAAGAAAGAGAAAAACAAATAAAACCAGCAGCAAAGTTGTGGGGGTTGTCCCAAAGAGATTTTAAATCAAGTCTATGTAGCAAATTGTTGTGAGAAAAATATAAATATTCAATTGAGGATCCATGCGAGATTCAACTTGTGGTATACTACTGATGGGCTGACCATGTTCCAAGCTTAAATTTAAAATCACACTTTCAATTCTGATGCAAACCCTTTGGGTTGAATTGTGGCAGAAAAAAATATGTTTGTTGCTATATGCTGGTAAAACATCTACATGTTCACCTTGGCATATTATGAATGCTGTATG